CCCCAAAACCCCAAAACCCCAAAACCCCAATATTTGTCCATTAAATTGAGTTATTTTGGTATATGACTTGATTTTGGGGTAATTCAAATTCTTCTGAAATAGCTTAGATTTGACATTGTCGACTTTTAGTGTAGCCGCACACAATGATATTAGTTAATGTAGAGTACCACTCTCAGCTATCCAAGACGATTTAAAGCAACTTCATATTATTAAGAATTTTGAAATAATAAATGAGACTTATTCTAATCTTGGTTTTGTCATGACATTTTAGCTCAACTTAGAGTAGAAGAAGAGAACCAATTGACCTTCTTATCTCCTCTCGAACAAAACTTAATTGGTGAAATTTTCTAATTTTATGGAAAATACTGTACTACAATACAGAGACATTGCAAAAAATGGTCAATCATTGTTTGGATTTGAAAGAACCTTTGGGCATTTAAGGCAAAACCCACTAACATGCGGTGCATGTCATTCCACACTTCCTTCTCGAGATTTTCTAGTGAATAGTCCTATTATTGCTCCTGGACTCGATAAAATAATCGCTTATTTGTAATAAATTACTTGCTTGTGAAGGCTTCCTCGGAGCTCTCCAAGAGATGGGTGCAATAATTGTACCTGAAGTTATGAAATTTTTAATTGGCCCAAATATACATGTTCAAGGATTTTAGAAGTTTTCACAGATCCTCATTACACAACTACTGAACCTCAAGAATACATCAATAGAGTGTTGTCTGATAAGCCTGAACTTTGAAGGATAATGATATATAAGTGAACAGTATAGAAAAATAGCTGCTGATTCTAATCCTAGAAAACTGTAAAGGTTCTTCAGTTATCAGATACCCATCTTGATTTTGAATATGTGAACAGAACTAATGCTCATTACAATGAACTAGTCTGTTGTAGAGAGAGAAATGGCCCAGCTCCAAACTCTGAAGATGTGGCTGACAATTTAGAACATTAGCAGGATGTGATTTCTCTGTCATAACTGCAGAGCTAGCCTTTTCTGGCAATGTTGAGAAAATACTCTTTACACGACTAAGATTAGTGCATTTTTTTACAGGTATATCTTTCAGATGTTCCTGTTTTTGAGGTTGAATCTCAAAAACTAAGTTCCTTCTGGAAATTATTAAAGACTAAATTTTCCCTACCCAGGGAATCACAAGTTCTTCCTAGTGAATTTAATAAAATATAAAGAGCAGGATCCCGTCTTGAAGAAGATTGCTTTTGTGTGGAAGCATCGGCTTAACAAAGAGAGCTTCGAACTTTTTGAGAAATATGGCTATTACTCCATGCCTCTAAAGAGCAAAAGCAATTCCTGGGATGGTTATAGAGTTCTATCTATCAAATAAAGAGGGTTGAAATTGGTATTCCATCTCTCAGACTCATGACCCTGGTAATATGCTGACTTGGTTAGAAGAAGAGTTTATGAAAATGGAGCAAACAGGAAAGAAAGCTTTAATAATCAGCCACTTTCAGCCTGGAGGAGGTGCTTGTCTTAACGCTTGGTCTGAAAGATACAGAGAGTTGATAGAAAGATATCTAAATTTGACCATCTCTAACTTCTTTGGGAATACACATAAGGAACAAATCTATTTAATAACTGGTACTCTAAACAAGACTGCGATTCATGTGTATCATGAGTCTGGGAGTTTGACGAGTTTCAACAATCACAACCCACAATTCAGAATCCTCAATCTCGATTATGAGACAGGCTATCTTGTGAAAGGTCATAAGGGCTTCCTCAACATCACAGGAGCTAATATTGGAAATACTGAATGGAAGAAGCAATATGAGCTTACTGAGGAATATAAAATGACTGAATTCTCCCAAGAAAGTTTCAATAATCTCACACTTAGATTTAGAGACACTCCTGGTCTCGTGACTCAATATATATGGAATTTTGAAGGAACACCTTTCCCACTAGAGGAATATAACCGTGGCTTTAAGAAATGTAGGAAAAATACTTACTGCACAGCTATAAATTTCCTAAATTTTGAAACTAATCACTGTCGAAATAGTCAAAGGTACAATTTCAGCTGAAATTTAACGAGCTCTATTCCTGAGATAGCTCTATGCCTTTTCCTTGTTCTTGTGGACTAATCCTGTCGTTCAATATCTTCTGCTCATAAAGGGGTTTTGGGGTTTTGGGGTTTTGGGGTTTTGGGG